GGAACTACTATCCTTAACTGGTTTGGCTTGTATGTGACTCCAGACCACACAGCAATGTGGTTGATTCTTAGCTGCCCTCTGGGCAATTAGAGATGGTCCATAAGTCCTGGCATAGCCAAATGCCCTCATCCAGTGAATGAATAAAAAAGTCAGTTGTAGCGTGTTGAAGTACTGAGGATTGAAGTATCATGTGGAATGCAGTGGTGTATGGTTATGTTCCTGCATGAATAATCCAGAAATGTGCACTACTAATCCAAAGAAGGACGTCACGACAACAACGATTGATACATGTAAATTAACTATCTTAAAAAATTCCTGTCTGAATTTAGCAAATATGCAACTGGTTCATTGACACTGGTTTCTTTTAGGAGAATGAAACCTTCTGTTCTTGTCTGGTTTAGCCCCCAGTTATCAAGATGGCCCCTGTATGATTCCAGCTGATGTTAGTCCTGGACAAGTCAGATCCCAGGCTGAAATCTGGCTTGATCGATCATATTTTGTATTTTTTGCTTTAACAAGGTAGTCTTTCACTGAAACACAAGTGCACAATGCTGGTTTAAAAATAAAACAGAAGTTTAATATACAAACAAAATGAATAAACAAAAACAAGCAATCTATTAACATATAATACAATTTCAAACATTTCAAAGCATGTTGTAAAGTACTATCCCATTAGTCCCAAAAGCACAGAATGCGAACAACAAAGAAAACTCCATTCTCCATCACATCTATAGAGTCTAAATTAACTGATGCTTCATTTCTCAGTCTTGAAACTCTGACAGCCTTTTCCTCTGATCTTCATGTAACTAAACTTAGATTTTCTCAGCCTCAGAGAAAATCGTTCAGGGTTTTAACCAAACATTCTGGTCTGGACTTTTCAAACTAAACACTGAGGTAACCAATTTCCTAATAGTTCTAAACTCTCTCCCTTTTTCAAATGAAATTGTTTTACAAGATGTGCAAGTCTGAACTGCAACCAAAAACTTATTTCAAACTATGGATGTTTCCTCTAACCAAAAAAATTAGGCTTTAGTTAGAAGGATCTTAATGCTATACTGTTTACTTTGCTCACTTGTAAAAATTCCCTCAGTATAGACAAATTCCTATTACCTTCAGAACTATCTCATACTTTTTTGAACAAACCATGGCTTCAGAAAGCCTTACAAGTTTACCATTAAACCTCTTCATCGACATCGACCATGCCACTGTTCAAAATCGAAACTCTAAAATAAATGGCATTAAACTATGTATAAATCTCACATTTTACATCACCACCATATTAACTATCCTAGTTCAGTAAGTTGTATTCAAATCCTAGCCAATGCAGTACTCTTTGGCTGTTGTAATGTTGGCACATGTGGCAGCTAATTCAAGTTTAGCTCAGTTAATGGTGTTTTGCGTCTGGGCTGACCTTCAGGTGCAGTACTGAGGAGATACATATCATCAGAGTTTATGTCCTATACATAATGCTAACTTTCTGTCTTGGGCTGCTCATTTCTTTGTTTGAAGTGATCATTAATGATCCCATTTTGATAGTCAAAGAACATTATTATTTTATAGTCAAAGAACGTTATTCTTTTGATGTCCTGACCAACATTCCTCGCCTGTAAATGGTGAAAATTAAGTACAAATACATGGCGTACTCCATTCACTTGCTGATTTCACAATGATAGTCACAGTGCTTTAATATTTATTGTTTTAAAGTACTTCTGAAAAATGTTAACATGATTAGCTATTGGTCTATTTGAAAGTGAAATAAATAGTTGTGTTTGGTGATCTGTGACCTGCTGAAAGTAGTTCATGTGTATATGCATTTAGTGTGCACACCATATTGAATAGTTAGTGAGGAGTTGCTATCATGGGTCACTGATAAAGCTGGAAGAGTGGGTAAAGTACACAGGAATAAGTTTGAAGTTAATCCATTTGAATCAGATCATTGGGACCGTTAAGGGGAATGTTTATATTTCTGCTTTTGAAATTATATATTGTGGTACTGTATGTCTAAAGCAGAAATG